GTAAGATAGATAGTTTGCCTCAATTGAAACATTGAGTTGTATAAACTTGACGAATCATACCTCTAAAATAGTAGTAGTTACAGTGCCGCATTATCATTGTTGGAGGTGTCGGCAGGGCTGATTACGGATCAAAACTAACATAACTCTAACACTGAAATGATCCCGAAACTAACGCTCATTCATTGCACTTTGAGTCATAAAGTAGTTTTATTTATTTTCCTACTAATCTATCTACACACTTAGTTTTTTCTACCGAGCTCGGCTGTGCGAGTCTCGGCGGGGAGGGTTTCGCTGAGATCTCGGTGGGAGTGACATTTGATTGAGGTTTCGGATAATCCCTTTTCGAATAATCTGCCTGCGTTTCTTTTCTTTGTTATCTACTTTATCCCTTTTTATTTTTCTGCTCTTCTTTCCTCTTCTATTCTTTTGTTTTTTTTTGTTGTTTACATATAACTAATACTAATACCTCCTTGTTTTCTCTCTAATTTGTCTACTATGTCCCACCATCACGATGAGAGATGAGCTACCGTACATGGTACACGCTCATATACACTCCCAAAATAGTATGCCGCAAGTAAGTATATCACAGAGGCAACTAAAGATCCAAAAACAAAAACCGATAACGCTGAAGATAATAAGCTGTGGTGATTTATATGACTATATGGTATTATTTATTTATACTAACCTAAACACAACGTGGGGTGACCCAAATCCAAACGATCACTAACCAGAATAATAGACTTATCTTTTTCAGCAGGTGTAATTTCGTATAGTTCTGTTTCTCTCTTTTCAGCAAAACAACAACTAAAAAACCTCTATAACTCTTCACAGCAAAAAAATAATTTTGATATCACATCAAAGTGGATGCACTACAATCATGTCGAAAATTTCATGTAATTTTTATGAACACATAAATAAACAAATGCAGTAAAAGCAGCGTAATGTCAGTTCATGCATTGTATTAATGATAATTTTGTCCTTTTTAGCAAGTAATATTACACCATATTTTCGACATGATTGTAGTGCATCCACTTTGACGTGATATCAAAATTATTTTTTTGCTGTGTTCTCCATTCTTTTAATCTCCTACTATCCCCTATAAATGTATCGGAAACTAGTGGAACTGTATGTGCAAACAGAAACAGGCCTGCTAGTGGAAGAAGGTCGTTATGCTATACGGTCTAGCATAGACCTACGGCCAGGTTTCAGTAGGTACACACTCGCTTAATGGCAGATTGGTTTACAGTGGTCGACCAGGGTGTATGCTGATAAATTACAAAATTACAATTACATCATTATTTCATACATCAGCTTGAATTACGTTGATCGAAATTACATTTTTTTTTTGCTGTGCACTACACCACCGGAGCCAGCAAAGTTCAACAATCCATCGTTGCTTATGCCTTTGTTGTCGTTTGGAAGCAGTTTTGCGAGGTAGGCGACGATTGTGCGTATTTCTCGCGTAACTTTTGAAAAGGGCCTATTTATAGCCTGAACAATACGGAAAGAGCAAATTGAAACATTGAACGTCGCGTGAAAGTGGAACTTAATGAAGGCCTAAGTACTTTTTCGTAGTTTTTAGTTTTCGGATTTGAAAGATCGTCAGTTACAGTGGCCTGCTTACTGAGGAGAAAAACGCGGTCCCAGGTCCTTACATATCAAAGAGATTTATGGTAAAATCGCTTGTGTATCGTGTATTTTGCGAAACTCGTTGTTGTCGTTGGTTCCGGGTTTGAATGGATACACAAATTTGAGCAACGGTATTATGTGATATGAAGGGCTCTGTGGCCTTAGAGTAACCGTTTTTGCTTACTGAGCAGAACATCATGAGTTTAATCTCAGGCCCATCCACATTCAAGATTCGTCAATCGTTTTATTTGTTAATATGACTACATGGTAATAACAGCAACTCGGTGATTAAAAAGGTGCTCGTCTGCCTAGTGGCAAACGTTTTTGCTTACTGAGCAGAAGACCGTGGGTTTAGTCCCAAGCTCCTTCGCGTTATATGATCGTTAGGACATCAATTCAGCTTATCGTTTACCAAAACGAACCCTGCTGCAAACCCAACCCTCTTATCCAACATCCCAGTGATTCCTCGTGGAAGTGCAGAGGTGTTCTCGGCTTCCATCAAAGCGAGTGTCATGTCAACACAATCCTTCCCATTCCTTTCTTGACCTGTGTTCGAGCGCGGCCGGCGCTGGTATTGCCTAATTTAAGATCACCAGTTTTTACACATTGAGGATGATTGCTAGTCCCAAGCATCGTCTATTGGTTATCTGTGTAATTACAGCTGATCTGGCAGTAACAGAGTAGCAACCGTGGGCGGTCAATCAAGCTCAAGCTCAATCCATTCACAATTTTGTCTTAGTTATTTACTAATGCTACATTCTTAACAGATAAGGTTCCGAGTAAAAATGTTTCTCCAGTCATTACAAAAGACATCCAACCAATCTCGACCAATTAATGGCAAAAAATTATGTTCAGTGTCATTAACAATGAGCTCTAGTTTTGCTCTTTTTGAATTCAATATAATATCAACCAATATAGCACCGAAAACTTTTAAATATGATCCATTCACAACCACTAATCTTTTCATAATACCATTCAAATGCATATGCTCAAAACACCTTGTATAATCCATTTTGCTCAACACTGTAACGGATGACCCACTGTCAACCTCCAGTTTAATTAGCTTGCCCTCAATATAAACTTCCAATAGACAAGGTTCACTAACCCTACTAATTGACTTAATCATCATGCAAGGGTAGTAATCACCTGATTCCACGTCACTATCGTAGTCCATCCTTAATCTTTGCTTGCTTTTGTTGGTTGATAAATTTGTAACAGTTTTTCTGAATATGACCTCTAATGTAGAAAAAATGGCAGATAAAATTGGCATACCGCCCTTTTGTCTGGGATCGCGATCTAGATCTCTGTCCGCCATGATAGTATTGTGAACGCCTATCGTCGAATCGGTTCCTCTCTCGCCCTCTTCTTTCACTATCTCTCTCCGCGTAAACCTTTCTATCTTCCCCGTAATCTTCCCAACCTAGGAGCCGGATAAGGAAACGTCTCCACTTGCGAAACAAGCCAAGTATAGCGTCGCTTCCGACCGGCTATAAGCACAAAAGAAAAGCATACAATAACGTTTTAAATCAATGACAATTGATTTCTTTCAATTGCTATTCAATTGCAATCAAAATTCACACTAGTTACTCAAATAAAATACCTTCAATCCAGTAGAACTCCAGAATCAACCAATTCCTTTGCCGCCGTCCAGAACCAATTTTTCCACTTCGACAGATACTTCCAACTCCAACACTTTTCAGTTAAAGCACACGCGAATCACTTTTTTTTTACCTCGTCGTCCACTGTAATATCCTTCTTTTTTAATAAAAAAGACTCAACTCGTCCGGTCAACAGTAGCAACAGAAGACAGCTCACAGCAATCTAAAATAATGCGTCGAAAAAAACTGCCTTTGAATTTTTAATAAATGCATCAAAGTAAATTGAACCTTAAGCCTAGGGTTACTTATGGTGCATTGGGTGGCCAAAAATAAAAGAGAGTGTTGCTCAGAGAAAGTTAGAAAAACTCCAAAGGTTAGCAACTACCTCAATAATAGGTGCAATGAGAAGTACACCATCGAAGGCATTGGATGCTTTGCTTTATATGCTACCATTGCATCATTTTGTACAATTCGAAGCCGAAAAGTGTGCTCTAAGGATTACAAGGTCAGTGAAACTCTTTGAAGGAGACCTTAGAGGACATCTTAGGATTCTAAAAACTGTTAGTATCAACTCTCTAGTAAGGAACAACGAAGACTGGATGGATAAAAGATACCGTTTCAATCGACTTTTTCAAGGATTTAACCCTGGGCGTAATTCATGGAAATTTGGTCCGATTCTTCGTCCAAGATCGATTGTTCTGGTTCAAGATTGAACAACCAAGTAGGAGCAGGAGTAACTGGGTCATGGGTCAATGCTGAAATCCAAGCAATTTTAGAGTGTTCTATTATATTTTTGCGTAGAAACTATATAAGAGTTCCAATATATGCATAATGTCCGACAGTCAAGCTGCTCTAAATGCTTTAAAATCGGCGACATGTACTTGTCTGGGAGTGTAATCAATCACTTCAAAAAATTTCTTGTCATAATCAAGTTAACTTATATTGGGTTCCTGGTCATTGCGGGATTGAGGGAAATGAAAGAGCTGATGCACTAGCAAGACTCGGATCTCCTCATAAGTTCATAAGGCTAGAGCTCTTTTGTAGCTTATCGGCTGCATCTTTTAGAAGGGGAAGCGTGGGAATCTTCAAAAGTGGAGGAAAACTGGAAGAACACTTCCTTTGCTAGGCAGTCGGAGCGATTCATTAATCCAAACATTTATGAGACCCACAAAAACCTTGAACTTTCTAAAAAAGATCTTAGCATATTTACAGGTCTTATAACAGGTCATTGTCCGAGCCGTTATCACTTGATTTGAAAACTTCAAGATGATGTATGTCGCTTCTATGGCATAGAAAAGGAAGACTAGGAACATTTGCTATGCCAATATCCGGCAATTTTCAATAAAAGGCGTAAGTTCTTCGACAAGGGGCTGATAGAAATCATCATTTGGACATTTGGAGAACAACTCCCAGTACGGCAGTGCACATTATTCGAAGTGTAATGCCTTGCTGGGATAATGCTACTTGTTATTTGCTGTGGAGAAGCAAGCAATGTCTGAAATTTCCATATTTATAAACCTAGTATATTTTAAGATTTGTGCTCATGAAATTGCGAAGCGTGATAAGAAAAAGGACTCTAAATGCAAACACCTTAAAAGAAATTGTCATTGAATAATTCATCATTGCTCTAAAACCACCACGCAGAGCTTACGAATCAATGTACAATATTCCTGTCATCATAAAAGTGGTGTATTTTGATGATATTGAAAACTTATTAGAACAGGAATTTCGGTTCATATTGAGAATAGCAATCAATGTACATATACCGTTCAATTTCGATTTAATTATCAACCAGAATTTTCCATTGCAGCAGTCACGTATTTTCCGTACCAAGTGTTCAACGTTGTCCTCGTTGTGCCACTCGACAAGGACAAGCTACTCGTACTAGGCGCTCTTGTCGCTCTCACTCCTTCCGTACTACTGGGCACCTTAGTTTCCCCACTATCGTCGTACTCATCAAGATCATTACCGGAAACGGTGGAACTTTCCCTCTTCCACAGTGCATCAATCACGGCTGCAGCAGCACCTCTCGTCGCACCATGGCTTCCCTGATTGCCACCTCCGATGGAAAGCCGCGGCGCCTTGTTCGCCCCATTGCCTCCGATCCAATCGAACACCGATGGATTATTGTTTCCGGAATCGCTTACCACGTTCAGCAACCGGTTGTGGCTGTACTCGGCGGATAAATTGATTGTGATATCACTTCCGTTCGCTACCAGTACGACGATGGCGGCCGCAGTCGCAAACCCACTGAACTGCAAAGAAATGGAATTCATTTTTTTGTTTTGCTATCTCTTTCTCTCTGTTGCTGCCATCACCAAAGAGGGTGAGACATTAATTTACCAAAGTTGATCCGAGCAGGACCGTGACCGTCGAGATTAGTAGCGATTTCATTTCGCAGGAAACGGTTCCTCGGTCCCGGCTGAAAAAGTTGCTGTGGGTAGTTCTAATCTCGTTTAATTTATTCTAACCAGAGAGACTGTTGTCCCCTACACAGGGCAGATAGAGGCGACTGTATGCGGTGTGACTCGTTTAGAAAGTTGCACCATTCAGACTGAGTAGGAAATGCACGCTCCTCAACCCAGCCAACAGGTAGGTAGGTAGATGTTCCTCGTGTATCGTTCCAGGGTAGTTGCAGACTAGGCGGACAGAGTCAGTGTGCTTGTTTTGTACATAGAAACAGTGCAGTTGTTTACCCGGATAGTTGGTACGGCTGCGGTTGAAGAAAATATTTACAACATTCTCAACGGTTGCGATCGTACAGTGTGCAGTGTATGGCATTGTCCGAACAAGCAAAGGGATTTGGCTGCTGCGAATTAGATAAGGATGCTACTTGAAGATTTAGCATTAATTGCATTTACAAGCAGAGCAGCAAACGTGGTCTACCAATCAAATACACTTGGTCTCAGTAGTACTCGAGATTTGTGCTGAAAAAAAGGCGGTGGCAATGCATGTCCAGCCATCATTATAAGCATTTGTGGACTTAGTTCAATATTTGCTTAAATCGAAATATTTCCATATGTGGTTGAATTACAACAACTAGATCTTAAGAAGATGTTAAAACACCCTACCCAGGTTTTCTAGTATTATCTCTGAAGTTACGTAGAAATATTTTTTTCCTTGATTTGTTTTCCGTCGATCTTGTTTTCCGTGCTGAGCACCAATACTACCGACGCCAGGGAGGCAGCTCCCACACCTGGACCCTACCTATCGACCCATCAACTCATGAACCGGGAACCAACGGCTTTACTTCCCTTCCGAAGAAAGCCGTGATCAGAGATGTTATGCCTCGGAACATGCTGGGGTGAGAGGTAATCACGCTTTCCACTACACCACCGGCGCCGCTAAGATTCCACCTCTAGTTGTGAGCCAGAACAAAATATTTTTAGCTTTGCAAAACTTAGACGTTTCGAAAGGGCCTGGCACTGACAACACACCGCCGTTGTTTTTAAAAGAATGTGCTGGTTCACTGCTGACGCTGCTGAAGATTATTTTTAACAGGTCACTCAGTGAAAGTACCTTTCCCGAAGCGTGGAAGTTAGCCTTGACCACCCCGATCTTCAAAGCTGGTACCAATCAAGCTGTTGCAAATTACAGCTGTTAATCATTTATGCTGTAGCTAAAGTGTTCGAACAATTGGTTCACAAAGCTCTGTATGTCACCTCCCGACCACTGATATCGGACTTTCAACATGGATTTGTTAAGAAGCGATCAACGACGACAAACTTGATGTACTATGTAAGCTTCCTGTCTTCAGAAATCGAGAATCGGCACCAAGTTGATGCCATATGTATACAGTAATGCCCCGTTTTTTGTCAGCCCCCTGATGAATTTAGGGCTGACAAAAACGGGACACTGACAAAATCGGGACATTTTTTTTCGCTTAATTTTTTTAACATAATATATTTAAATGCTGTTTGACACTGCAAGATTTATGTTTAAGGAATCATTCAATATATACGAGCCCATTTAGGGGGGCGGGGGGAGCTGGAATTTCAAACTTTTCGTAAGTGTCGTATAAGGAAAGACATTCTTACGTTCATGGTGTGGAGGGGGGGGGGGCTAAATGGACTTAGGTAAGAATTGAATGGCCACTCAATGCATATGTGCTTCCATCTATTAACGTCCTTCTAAACACAATGCATATGTGGTTAAGCATTTTCAGTAAGGACAACAATAATAATACATAGTGCATAATAATGACTTGCATATGTCCCATATTAAAATTCTCTGAATGAAATTTGTAGAGATTTTGACACATACACACACACACACACACACACACACACACACACACACACACACACACACACACACACACACACACACACACACACACACACACACACACACACACACACACACACACACACACACACACACACACACACACACACACACACACACACACACACACACACACACACACACACACACACACACACACACACACACACACACACACACACACACACACACACACACACACACACACACACACACACACACACACACACACACACACACACACACACACACACACACACACACACACACACACACACACACACACACACACACACACACACACACACACACACACACACACACACACACACACACACACACACACACACACACACACACACACACACACACACACACACAGGGCTACAAATGGTGAGTTGACAACCTAGCTCTGGTTCTCACAAGTTCCTACCTCACGCCTCCCCGTGGTGTAGCCTGGGCAATGTTGTCCTTCTGACAATAGCAAAGTGAGGGGGTGCGACGCGAACACTGGCGCGGTAACCATAACACGGCGATAGAGGAAATGCTTCGTCAACGCGCAGGAGTGCCAACCGGCACATTAGGATCGACGCCAGTAAGATCCTTATTACGGCATACTGGACACGGCATGGAACTATGGACAAGACACGGTACAATGGATTGGATACCACGCTACAGGGCTGACAGTCGTGCTATTCTGCTCCCTAAGTAAAGAAGGGTGACACCTTCTTAAAATGGCGAGTGGGCTAATAGTGCGGCTGCCCCCGTCCCGGTAAAACCTTGGCAGGCCTCCGGATACGTTCAAAACTCGTCACCAATTGGTGATTGGTGAGTAGTAGGCTCAGATGTAACATTCCTGACTTACACCGATCTGGCTCTGAACACGGCCCCCATGAAGGACCGTGTCAACCCTAGCATGGCCTCCCTGCTTGCATAGATAACCATGGGATCACGATAGGAGACTACATACAACGAGTGGAGATAGCGGCCCGAAGGGGGGACCCATCAGAATGGATAAAATTGGAGAAAAAAACAAAAATGAAGAAAAAGAAAATACCAAAAAAAATATGAAGAACGACGGCAAGACGCCAGACAGTGAAAACGGAGGAGCAAACGTGTTCGCAAGGAGTGGGATATTGCAGAGATCACCAGTGTCGAACCTGGGGGTCACTGCAAATTCCAGCAGCAGCAATAAGTTTCAAGAAGAGCAGCCAGGCGTTGGGCTAAGCCAGATATTCACACCAATATCCAGTAGTAGCAAATCCCAAGAACTGCAGCTCGGGAGAACCAAAATGACGGAGGTCAGGAGGAAGATCGATGATCTCTATGTGTTCGTGAAGGATAAAAACAACGTACACAAAGAGATCAAGCAACTTGTGACCGGTATCAAATCCGGCATAACAGTGGCAGATCGGGAATGTCAAGAGTGGAGAAAAAGAGCCGAAAATCCCGAAAAGGCTCTGCTGGAGGCCAAGGAGAGCATAAGATTGGCTCAAGCACATGAGACGCCGAAGGGACCCACAAATCCACGTCCTGAAAAGAGAGATAGGGACACGCCAGGAGATGAGGAGGAGCCCAAAAAACGCAGGGACGACGAGGAAGGCATCAAGGAGATGGGAGAAAATGGTGCGTGGCGTAAAGTCGAGAACCAGAAGGAGAGGAAGAAAAAACAGAAGGAAGATGAAGTGAGGAAGAAGGAAGAGGAAGCGAGGAAGAAGGAAGAGAAGAAGAAGGAAGACATGAAGAATAAGGAGAAGCCTAGGCCTCGTAGGGAGAGAAGCAAGGGTGACGCTCTGGTTGTTGAGGCGAAGGACAAAACGTCCTACGCAGCACTCCTCCGGAAAGTGAGAGAGGATCCGGAGTTGAAACAACTAGGCGAGAACGTGGTGAAAACCAGGCGAACCCAGAAAGGCGAGATGCTATTCGAGCTGAAAAGGGACCCTACGGTTAAGAGCGCAGCTTTTAAGGAGCTCGTCGAAAAATCTCTTGGCGAGACGGCGAACGTAAGAGCCTTATCCCAGGAGACAGTGGTAGAGTGCAGGGATCTGGACGAGGTCACAACAGAAGACGAGTTGAAAAGTGCGCTGAAGGTGCAATGCAACCTGGGAGACGTACCGATGGCAATTCGGTTGAGAAAGGCGTATGGTGGCACGCAGACGGCGTCGATACGACTTTCTTCGGACGCAGCTAACGAGCTGCTGAAGACTGGCCGAATCAAGGTTGGGTGGTCAGTGTGCCCGTTGAAAGCTATTCCTCGGGTATCTAAGAAAATGGAGAGATGCTACAAATGCATGGGCTTCGGTCACCAGGCGAGACACTGCAAAGGCCCTGACAGATCTGATCTGTGCAGGAAATGCGGAGAGAAGGGGCACGTTGCAAAAGACTGTACAAAGCAACCGAGGTGCATGCTCTGCAAAAAGGAGGACGGAAACGGCCATGTGACGGGAAGTTTCAGGTGCCCTGAGTTCAAGAAGACGATGGTGGGCCAGCAATAATGAAGGTAACCCAAATAAATCTCAATCATTGTAACACAGCACAGCAACTGTTGTGGCAGTCAACAACGGAAACAAAGTGCGACGTTGCAATCATTGCAGAGCCATACCGAGTCCCTCTCGATAATGGTAACTGGGTGGCGGATAGAGCAGGAATGGCGGCCATACAAGTCATGGGCAGGTATCCCATACAACAAGTGATGGCAAGCTCATATGAAGGTTTCGTGATCGCCAAAATCAATGGAATCTTTGTATGTAGTTGCTACGCACCCCCGAGATGGACAATTGAGCAGTTCCACCAGATGCTAGATGGGCTCACCGAAGAGCTCATTGGACGGAGACCAGTCGTCATCGCAGGAGACTTCAATGCTTGGGCAGTGGATTGGGGGAGCAGATGTACCAACGCAAGAGGGTATAGCCTGCTGGAAGCTCTGGCAAAGTTGAACGTCAGTCTGGCCAACGAAGGAACCATCAGCACCTTCCGCAAAGATGGTAGGGAATCCATTATCGACGTTACTTTCTGCAGTACGTCGCTAATGGCAAATATGAACTGGACAGTGTGCGAGGAGTACACCCATAGTGACCATCAGGCGATCCGGTACAGTATCGGCGAACGAACACCGGTGGAAATGCAGAGGACGAAAGTAAGCGAGCGGAAGTGGAAGACGAAGGCATTCAATAAGGATCTCTTCATCGAAGCTCTAAGGGTAGACAACAGCGTCCCGGGCCTAAGCGCGAATGAGTTGACCGAATTATT